TTTTCTCCTTTTTCTAATAATAACAAACATGTTTCTGCATAAAGTTTTGTTTTTAAGAAATTCTTTTAATTTTTGCGATCGGTAAATAAAATAAGGTTCACCATGATGGGTTTCCTGTGTTATATGCTGTGGATTCAATCGATATTTGCCGAAAACAACTGACCCATCGCACTACGTTAAAAACCTGGATTCAAGAGGAGAAAAAATTGTAAAAATTATATTGTTTGGCGTAGAATTGTACCGATTGCAATAAGTTTTGACTGGGTTTTCGCTTCGAGTACCTGTCAACATGGCGTCTCTGCTAAAATGTAGCTTTCACGGCCTTATAAATAAACTTCAAGCAAATGGACGGTTTCTATTCCGCTTTAGACTTCAAGGTAAGATAATAATGTACAAAGCTTACTTAAATCTTAAGTTTATCATATGAATTACAAATCAAATTTTTTAGGCTGTGTCTACCTGCCCGTGAGTATTCATTGTTTTCCGAAATAATTAGCTTACGTACCGAGACTAAATCATTAATTTCATCGCTAAACCCAACCCAAACCTTATTACCCTAAACCTAACCTAGAGCTAACCAAGGACTTGTGTTCAGTAATTCTGTATTTTTTTTTCGCAAACGGACATTTTGACTTCCACTATTTACACGGCAGCCGGGCATGTAAGTAGACACAGACACTTCGAACTTTATGTCGCCTTTGTTAATTTACATGTAACTTAAGCTGAAGCTTTTCCTTTTATAAATTTCGATGTCTCTCTGAACGAATAAGCTTATATTTTTATAAATAAACCTTAATCCGCTTAACAGTGATTGGAAGAAAAGCACTGGAATAATCCTGCAAAACTGCAAATCAAGAGCATAAAGAATAATCAAAACAACAATGTGGATTTCATACTTCAACAAAGGAGCTCAAAACAAAGTTATGATATACCAATTCACTTGTTCTTTCAATACATGAAGGCATTAGCTACTCAAATTTTTCACTAATAACTTATCTTGTCAGTTAATAACTATTTTTTTAATCCAATTTTAAATGTTAAATTGCATTTTTCCCAATATTGTTCTGATCTTATTTTTATGATTTTTTTTTAATGATCACCTATTACATGTTTTTGTAAATAAATAACTTATCTACTGTGTTAATAAAATGCTCAAAATACAGCTGACCATCTTGCAAAAGCAGCTCTCACAATCTCCGAGTTATGTTGCCATTGGCAGCTTGTTATTTTGATGTGTTTGTTTTGCAGTAATGTGAGTATTTGTTTTAAGTTAAGAAGTGCTATCGTCAGTGTGTCGATTGCTTTTGTGTTGTTTTGTAGAATGAATGCATGTAAGTTTAAAATCTAAGTTTTGTTGAAGATAAATATTGATTGTTGGTGTACAACGTGAATGTATGTGTTGGTCAGTTGTGTTTAGAGTGTTTTTGGTTATTATTGTTGTTAGGTCGAGTGTCCTTGTTGACAAATGGTTTTTTAAAGTAAATGAATCTGTTTTGTTGTTTCACAGGGCGATTGTGTGCAAACGAAGAGTCTTCAGTGGGTCCGTCATACAAAGCAGGCTGTGTACTTCTTCAATCAACCTCGACAAGTAACATCCAGCTTTGGTTCACTTTATTACTCAACTCAATTTGAACCGTCGCAAGGAGAGATAGACTTTGAATTTACATTGAAATCATGATATTTATAACAATC